TAGATAGAGAGATAGAGCGATAGATAGAGAGAGAGAGATAGAGAGATAGAGATAGATAGATAGATAGGTAGATAGATAGAGAGAGAGAGAGATAGAGAGAGGTAGGTAGGTAGATAGATAGATAGATAGATAGATAGATAGATAGATAGATAGATAGATAGATAAATAATGGATATTGGGGATAATTAAAATTTGATTAAATTCAAATTCTGCCAAAATGGTACACTCTCCCCCCACCTCTGCCCTCAGGAAGGAAAATCAGATCGCCATCAAATTATGTTCAAAGGGGAGATAAAATGTTGAAATGGTATGGGTTTAACGCCCCTATCAACGATATTATATACAGTGAGGCAGTGTGGTGGAATCAGGCTCTCGTCAAAATAATCAAAGTGAAGAAACTTGCATTTTTCCGCAGGTTTGTGAATTTTTATCAAATTTTTGTTTTTTGGGCTCAACACCTTTCATGCCCACAAAAGAACTAATTTCTGGGTAAATTTTTATGAAAAACATTGATTAAAGGCACAAAAAATGTAAATTTTCAGTTACCACGGACTCTTCAGCTAAGGAAATAACTAATCTTTGGCGGCCATTTTCTCACTAATTTTACCTCTGAAAACAGGTGAACCCTACCTCCTTCCTTCTCAAATATCTCGACTTGCTTTTAAGATAAATGGATATTTTTTTCCTTCCAAATAAAGACTAGTAAACAAGCTTTAAGATGATACCAATAACTCTACATGCCCAAAAATTGACGAGAGCCTGATTCCACCACGCTGCCTCATAGTTATTTAATAAGAGCTTTAGTAAGAACGTCACATCACTTGCAACACAATATAAGTCTTATAATTGCCAAAGATTAGAGGTGTTACAAGAGAGTAGTAAACACAATTAAAAAGAAGGAGGAGAGACAAGGGGGGAGGTAAGAAGGAGCAAGCCACGCCAGATAACAATCTTACAAAAAGTCTGCTCAACTTGCGCCAGGAAATAGGTGTCACCTTTGAGGTCAGTTTGTACTTGTTGGGGTCAAACAACAACTTTCCCTTCTGGTCGACCCTCTGTGCGGGGACATTCTTCTGGGACTCGCGCGTCGTTTTGCTGACGTCACCAGCTGTGATGGCCGTGAAGCGCTTGGACTTGAACATGGCGTTAGTGTCCCCGGACCTGAGAGGGACATTTGATGGGGTGGTTGGGAGGGACATTTGATGGGGTGGTTGGGAGGGACATTTGATGGGAGGGACATTTGATGGAGTGGTTGGGATGGACATTTGACAGGGTGGTTGGGAGGGACATTTGATGGGGTGGTTGGGAGGGACATTTGATGGGAGGGACATTTGATGGAGTGGTTGGGATGGACATTTGACAGGGTGGTTGGGAGGGACATTTGATGGGGTGGTTGGGAGGGACATTTTATGGAGTGGTTGGGAGGGATATTTGATGGAGTGGTTGGGAGG